TTTTTTTTTTTTTTTTTTTTGGTACCAGGGATTGAATTCGGGTCCTTGCACTTGCAAGGCAGGCCACCGAAACACTGAGCTAAATCCCCAGCTGTGATTTCAATTTTTGATAGATGACAGACACATCTGTATGGACTGTATGAGGGACACCACCCACCCTGTCTTTGCTTCTCTCCCAGTGAAAAGGAACAGATTTGAGTCTCTAGGTCCTGAGTGTATGTCCCGGCTCTTTCCATCCCAGCTGATGGGAATGGGGTCCTTTCTTACCCTCTCCGAGTCTCAGTGTCCTTGGCTCAGTGTAATTGAGGCTCCTTCTGCCCCTGTAGGGTTGTTGGGAGGATGAAATGAGGTCACAGGAAAGCCCCCAAGGCCTAGCATCAGTAGGCACTTCCTAAGTGTCCTTTCGGAAACAGGGACCAGAGAAGATGGTGACTGGTACAGTAGCCAACTGCTCTGTGGTTGCGCAAGGACTAGCAGCTAATCCCCGGGTATCCCAGGCTTATCACAGTAGCTGAATGTCCATAGTCTCCCCCTGCCTGGAGGAGAGGCCACCCAGAGGTGGCCACTGCAGTCTGAGCCTGGGATGCCCCCACAGTGGTTGCGTCCTTCTCTGCCTGTGCAGCGCCCATGGGGTCCCCAAGGAAGCACCACAGCCTGGCCACAGGGGGCAGTTGTCATGGGGATGCCCAGGCCTGCTGAGCTGCCTACCTTGGCAACGGGACTCCCAGGCTAGTTACCATAGAAACAGCCTTGACAAGTAGTGATGGGGAAAGGCTGGCGGGTTCCCTGCCCTTTTCTGAGGACTTACCCTCTTCAGAGGGCGGGATATAGCACTCCCAGCACTGCCAGGAGCCTAGGGACTCCATTCCCCAGCCCCAGGCAACTGACTTACCCAGCAAGCTCCCAGGGTCTGCTGGGAATCTCTGAAGCCAGGGATGGCAGAAAGGAACCCTGGGGGACCAGACCCAGTACCCCCTCCCCAGCACCACAGTGAGGACTCAGTGAGACCCCCCCTGCTCCCACTTCTGCCCTCAAGCTACCAGCCCACACAGGCACCCAACAGCTGTGCCCCGTCCTCAGCCACCCGCAAGCGGTCCTGCCCCAGCCCAGTCACCTTGTGTCCCCCAAGCTACCCTGTCTTCTGTGGCTCGGATAGCCGATGAGCTCATAGGCATTTACCGCCCTCCTCCTCCAGGGAGCTGGTGGCCTGGGAGCCCGGGGAGGGGGGCAGGTGGCAGAAGTGCTGAGTCAGGGTCTCACCCCCCCCCACCTCCCCTTCCCCTTCAGGAGTGAAAGCCACTTTCTCTCACCCCTCAGTAGCTCCACCAGCCTGTAAGGTGTACACCTGTGCCCACACCAGGCCTCACACATGCCTGTGCACACCTTGGTGCCCAGAATACAACTCCATGTTCTTGGGGTACACATCTGCGCTCCAGGGCACATGCATGCTGGGGAATGGAAATGTCCCTCCACTTCCGAGACACCAGGGTTCCCTAACATTACCTCCCAACCCATCCCCTAGAAGAAAGCAGCATCTGCTGGAATTTTTTTATTTAAATAAAATATACAATACGGCGCATTTCCCGTTATCTGTTTTAAAAGTGGAAGATTTGAAAATTGCTCACGGGAGACAGGACAGGAGTGCCCATAGGATGGACTTGGCTGCCCCACACTCTCAGAGGAGCGCCCGGGTGGGTCAGAGCTTTTATAAAATGCGTGTGAACAGAGAAGAGGGTGGCTAGGCCAGGCCCTGATGGCAAGGGGCTCCTCGCTCCTGGTGCCCCTGGACCCTCCATTCCACTCCTGCCACCTCCAAGACTAGACTGGTTTGGATCAAGTCCTTCTGTCATTCTGAGCTGCCTTCCTTGGAGGTGGGGGTATGGGGCACACAGAACTCAGGCTGCAGCTGCTTAAATCCTCGCAGGTCCGAAGGACTCCTGGGCCTGCGGAGTTTCTCTAGTCCAAGAGGAGCTAGGACCCAGTGGCTTCTGGTCTTTACCTAGGATCATAGACCTTCATTCCCTGTCTCCTGGATGATTGCCTGTAGCGCCCCACCCCCACACCAACAGTCCATCACAGAGAAACCAGCCTGCCTCGTGTCACAGGTACAGGAACAAGCCTGACCAAGCCGACACTGCCTCAGTGTGAGAGCTCTGCACAGACAAGGTAGGGCCAGCCCTCTGCATTATTTCAGTCCCAAAGCCAGAACTTGGCTCTGCCAGGGCCCTACTGGGAAATCTGGCAAGCACCAGGAGGCACCTGAGCTGCTTTTCCATGGGAACCTGCCTGTGGCTCCTGGTCGCCTTCAGAACCAAGCACAACTCACCCCCTAGGTGTGGCATGCAAGGTCCTCCCTCTGACCCCCAGCCTATGGATCTGTTCCGAAGCTGGCTCCAAACCCCCTGTCCACCCAGCATAACTTTTACTGTGCACTCCAACCTCCTCCCCACCCCCCTCCCTGCCTGTCCTCCTCCAGCTCTTCCACACCTCAAGGTCTGGCCCAACTGTCATCCCCCCATGCCTTTCTTGGGCCCTTAGGGAGGCCCAGCCACCTCCTGAGTCCTGAGATTTTAAGTCTTGGAGCCCTCATTTAAAGCTCCCTAGGGTTTCACCATAGCTCATCAGAGGAATGGGCTGGGCACATGAGGAGGGGCAGAAGAAATGTGATTTATTGAGCACCTACTATGCTGTGTGCCAGGCGCTGGGCTGGGCATTTCACATTCTTTTTCTTCTCTGGTCCTCATAGGTTTTTGTGAGGCAGTACCGTAATTATTCTCATTTTACAAATGAGGTATAAGAGACAAAGAAAGGTCAGGTAACTTGCCCAAGGTCACACAGCTAAGCGACAGGGCTAGAATTTGAATCCAGACCTAACTGCTGCTAAACTTGGGTCTCTTCCCTCCATACCTTGTTTGGGGACCATTAAACACAGTTGCCTGATGGAAGGAATGTAGGCTTTGGCTTCAGGCAGGGTGGATTCGAACCTCTAATCAGTCTCAGCTCTGCTGCTACTTCTGTGATTCTGGGGAAATCACCCCATACTCAATTTCCTCATCTGTGAAATGGGGAGAATCAAAGTACCTACCTCTCAGTCTCTGTGAAACTGAAGGAGTTAATGTGTAAAGTGCAAAACCAGTGCTTGGCACAAAGCAGACTCAATAAATAGAAGTTCCCTCACCTCCCCCTGTGCAGCTGGGAGAACCGAGGGCCACAGAAGAGACAGGGTGTGCTTGGGACCCTGGGAAGAGAGAAGCTCGGCCGGGAGTCTCCCACTTCCATATGGTGAGTTTGGGCTGCGGCTGGACTTGGGCCCAGAGATGGGAAGAAGGGAGCCTGCTGGAGGTCCTGGGGGTCCTGTTCCCTGAGGACCGGACAGAAAATGTCCCCAAGAGCCTGCAGCACCCAGCCTGCGAGCCACAGCTGATCGCTGGATGTGAGGTGACCTGGGTGCCCTGGAGGCTGGGTGAAACTGGATCGCACACGCATGTGCACACGCATGTGCACACGCGTGAGTCACTATCTACAGACTCTACAAAGTGCTACGTAGCTATACATATACACATCTTACATACATATACATAGACATATTCATATACATCTTGCTATGGTTACAGTAGAAAAAAACACAAGGCCCTCGGGGCCCTGGCCCGAGTTTGTCCCTTGTCCTAAGGACTCAAGAGTTGGAGGCTCCCCAGAAAAACACCCAAGGCAGTCCCTTCCTGGGGGAACAAGGTGACCCCCATCGGAGTGGGGCTCCAAATTCACAGCCAAGGGCTGATGAGCTCTTGCTCTAAAGCGAGTACAATGACGGGTCTGCTGTAGGACCCCCAAGCGTGGGTCCCCTCCCCCCCCCCCGCCCCAAAGTCCCCTCCTGCCTTCCTCTGGCTTCTGCCTCTGGGCCTTGCCTGCTTCCCCCTCCCTCCCTCCCTCTAGTGCTGAGTATTAAAATAGTCTATAAAAGCAAGTGACCAAAAATCTATAGCTCTAAGAATACCTGGTTATTTTCTGCTGTCTTTAGTTTTTTTCTGGGGTGTGTGTGTGGGTTCTTTTAAATGATAATTATTATTGTTATTGGTATATCTCCTAATCACAGTTAAACCTGAAAGAAAGAAGGGAGAAAAAAAAAGGGGAAGGAGGGAGGGCCCCACTCATAGATTGGACGGCAGTTTGGAACGCACTGGCTCAGACCTGGCCCCAGGTTCCCTCTGGGTTGCAGCAGTTAGAGGGGGCCCCCCAGAAGACGTGGCTCTTGCCCCAAACAAAGAAAGAGGGGGTGGCAGAGAACCTGAGGATGTCTTCCGAGGCAGAGTGACATGCTGGCCGGGGATGGCACCTGGGGGCCTCCCGGGGGGACCAAGGCCCCCACTGCTTCCACTGCCCCCGCTGCCCCCCCCAGCTCTGGGGAAAAGCGGGAAAGTGGCCACAGACTCCCCCGAGGAGTGTGGGGAAGCTCTGCGCAGAGTCTGTGCCCCGTCCTGGGGGAGGGCTGGCTGAGAGGCTGAGATGAGCTTGAGGTCCTGGGTGAGGCGGCCAGGGGTGAGGGGCGGTGTGCCTCGGCTGTGTGGGACCTGGGGGGGTGGGGGGCTGGACGCAGGTGGCAGGAGCAAGGAGCCATGGGAGCCAGAGGCCCGGGGTGGGGCACTTGGGAAAGTTCTTGGGGGGCCTGGGCTGTGGCCAGGGGGACTGAGGCCTCCTCGAGGGGTAAAGGCTACTGGGGAAGCCCCCCCAGAAGCCCCCGACATGAAGGACGGTCGCTCAGGTGTGGGACCTGGGGGGGTGGGGGGCTGGACGCAGGTGGCAGGAGCAAGGAGCCATGGGAGCCAGAGGCCCGGGGTGGGGCACTTGGGAAAGTTCTTGGGGGGCCTGGGCTGTGGCCAGGGGGACTGAGGCCTCCTCGAGGGGTAAAGGCTACTGGGGAAGCCCCCCCAGAAGCCCCCGACATGAAGGACGGTCGCTCAGGCTGCCGTGGGGGTGTTTCTGGTGTACTTGGTAGGCCGGTGGCCAGCCCTGGGGACAACTCCCCAGGAGGCTGGCCCAGCTGCCCAGGGCTAGATGATGGGGACCTGGATGAGGGTGGGGGTGGCAGGAAGTGCTCCAGGAGTCCCAGGCCTCCCCGGGCACCTGGCAGCGGGGGTGGCAGCTGGGCAGCCTGTGGGGAGCGGGCACCTGGCTGCAGTGGGGTAAGCAGAGGGGAGTCAGAGGAGGACAGGGAGCCACCCAGCGCCTTGTGGAAGTGGCCAAACCCAGCCATGGTGGTGGCAGCTGCAGCGGAGGATGGTGTGGGGGCTGGTGGGGAGCCACAGGCCCTGGGTGGCGGGGAAGAGCTGGAGGGTGGCAGGAGGGGGCTCAGTCCAGCGGGTGCAGAGAATCCCGCCAGCTGCTGGATGTGGAAGGAGGAGGAGGATGGTGTGTCCACCTGGGACGGGCTGCTGGCGGGTGAGGCAGAGCCCAGTGCCGACGGGATCAGGGACTGCAGCCTCTTCAGATGCCTGGGTGTCTGCCCAGCCCCGAGGTTGCCTAGCCCAGGTCCTGGTGGAGGGCGGAAGATGGCAGCAGGCAGGCGAGGGTGGTGGGTGAGGGCGATGGCCACAGATGTGGTGGCTGCAGCGGCCTGCAGCGGTGCCTGGATCAGTGGAGTCCAGATGACGGGCGTGGGGGTTGGGGTGGCAGAGCCGGCAGCTTGGACTCGGTGTGCACAGTGGGCCATCTCACGGTCGTGCTGCACAATCTGCTGGATTATCTCATTCTCCTGGTAATTGAAGACTCCTGAGTTGAGGTCATGCTGGACTTTGTGGAGAAGAATGGAGTTCTTCTTGCCTGGGTCATAGAACAAAGAGCAGGCTCAGGCCAGCGTGGGGCCAAGGGATAGGAAGTGAGTTCATGCAGTAGAGGGAACCGACCCGGCCTCACCAATGCGGTCCAGGCGGTCCAGCGCCACCGTCTCAAAGGCCCGCCGCATCATGGGGTACTCCTCCAGCACCTCATTAAAGTTGTCCACACTCAGTGAGTACAAGCGGCAGTAAGTGTCGGCCCTCACACTGGCCGTGCGCCGGCCCCGGGTCAGCAGGCAGATCTCTGCGGGGATATCAGACTCAGTGGGGCTCCCCCAACCTGATATTGATTCTGTCTGGTACAGAATCCTCTCGGGCTCACGAGCCTTAGCCCTAGGCTGTAGCCACACTGGATGCCAAATGGGTATGTGACAATTTCCCATCTGGGGCCACCCCTCCGCAATGGCTAACCTCCCACATTCCCTGCCGGGACTGCCTATATGAAAGCTCTAATCTCAATGTGATGGATCTGGAGGTGGGGCTTTGGGAGGCGATCTGGTCACAAGAGTGGAGCCCTCATAAATGGGATCACTGCCCCAAAAAGAGGCCTGAGAGTTGGCACACTATCTTTCGGCCCCATAAGGACACAGCAAGATGGTAGCCATCTGCAGCCTGCAAGCGGATCCTCACTGGAGCTGACTATGCCGGCTCTGCTCTTGGACCTCCAACCTGCAGAGCTATGAGAGGTGAATCTCTGTGTTATGGCAGCCTGAATGGACTGAGACACCCTGTTCTGGGCTCACAGACACCCCACCTCCAGGACCTTAGTGGCTCCATTTACCAGGGTTCCGTCCAGCCTCTTCCCTTGGCCACCTCACCTCCAAAATAGGAGCCATCAGCCAGCTTAGTCTCTTTGTTGCCCTTGGTGAGCACGCTGACCACGCCGTGCTGGATGAAGTACATCTTCTTGCCGATGGTGCCTTCACGGATGATGTAGTCCCCGGGCTGGAAGACCTCGAAGCGTAGCTTGGTCAGCATGGATGTCACAAAGTTGGGGTCCGCATTGGCAAACAGCGGCATGGAAGCCACCAGCTTCCGGCAGTTAAAGTTGATGATCTCCTGCTCCAAAGTGGCACAGATGGGGACATAGGAGAAAGGAAGTGAAGGCCCAATGGCCAGCCCTGGCCCCTGCCCCACCCAGGCCACTGCCAGCTCACCTCCCGCAGTGGCTCACTCAATTCACCCAGAATGCTCTCCTCGTCAAACATCTTGCCCTGGTAGCGGTGCTCATAGTAGTCGTGGATGCGCTGCCGGGTGTCAGGCGGGAGCTTGTGGAAGGACATGTACTGCTCCACCTGCTTATACTGAGGACAGGGACAGGGACAAGATGTCACCTCCAGCAGCCCCATCAGGTGACCAGAGCCAGGCTCCAACCCTGTGGCTTTCTTGGACAGACAGGAGGTCCACCAGTGTTGTGCTCAGTACTGTGGAGATGGGGAGAGGACACAGAGACTGTCCAGAGCCCAGTTACAGGATATCAGCTGGTCAGGAAGGGGATCGAGTTTCCCCTGAACACCTGTCACTTCTGTGTTTTACTGGGAACACTTACTCTGGGAGGGGAGGAGCTCTCTCCTGTCAGTAGCTGGTAACTGCTGAGAACAAAGCAGAAGCAAAGATGCCTGGCCCTTTATAAGGTGTACATGTGCCTGGGACCGAGTCACCTTGCTGAGAGCGGTTCTAGCCCCAAGGGGTATGTGGTGGAGGAAGGCTTTCAAGCAAAAGTTCAGGTGTAAGAGCTTTGTGAGCCTAAGTCCCCAGGGCTCAAACCAAGTTAGGAGTGGCCCTCCCCATCCTAGGAGAGAAGGGCTAGACATTGCTCGCAGGTCCCTGGATTACAAGTAGAGTGTGGAGTCAGAGGAACAGGAGGACAAGGGACAGGAGATGTTGATTAGGCAACAACAGACTTTCCCCACACACGAAGGAAGGGAAGTCCCTTTAGCTTCAGGAACAATGAGGAACATTCTTAAGTATCAAGGGCTCCTCAGAGATGCCAATGTGCAACTGAGGTCTGGGGCAGGGCACTCCCCAAAGTTCTTCCGACCAACCTGCCCTCTGCCAGCTGTAAGCTGTGTGTGACACAGGGAGCGGGGACTTCCTGGCTGGCTGTGGGGCAGAGGCCACAGCACACGTGGAGCTGTGCTTTAGAGAATTCCCCCCATAGCAAGCAGGGGTGGACAGTGCAGGAGTTAAAAGGTTGCCACCTTGGTCCAAGGGAGAGACAGTAGTGGGGACGGGGGAAGAAGGTAAGACATTTCGGAGAGATTTGTGGGTGAATCAGGAAGACTTATAGAGCTATCAAGTCAAAGACAAAATAAGGGAAAATCTCAAAGGGAAAGTCACATGCAGCTTACCCAGGCCCTATAGCAAACACTAATGATTTTTCTAAACTTATCCCAGGATCCTGGTCTCAGACTGAGCCCCAGGTCACACACTAAAGCCTTGACCTATTCTAAGGTTGAGTCTGCTGCTACCCTTCAACTGACCCGAGTTAAGTCCAGACCTTTATAACCCAATTCTTCCTCTATCTCCCCTTCCTAACCACTACTCCTCACCTAGAATACTTTGTTCTGATCAGGTGGGTTTCTTCCCCTCATTCCACACATCTTTGCTCATGCACATGGCCCAGAGTTCTCCTCCACCTTCTCCTTCCTTGGCTTCCCTAAAGCAAGCTACTCTCCCCTCCCCAGTCCTTCAGTCCTTCTGGAGTTCTCCTTCTGGTGTCACCAGACCTGGGCCTCCACACCTGCGTGGTTGCCATGTGCTGTCCCTTGGGGGATGGGCAGCCAGTGTATCAATAAACCCTGAGCCCTACTATGTGCTGGATGCTAGGAACAACACAGCTGGATCCTGCCCTCAGGAAGCCATGGCCTGGATAGGGAAGATGGATGTTAAATACACAGCTACAAGTGATTAATTAATCACAGAAGGGCAAAGTGCTGTGACGGAGAAACAGAGGGTGCTATTGGTCACACGATGGGTGGTGTAGGTGGCACAGCTGAGGCTGAGATGTGAAGTTGTCAGGAGAAACAGAGGAGAGAAGTTCCAGAGAGAACCCAGGTGTAGACCTGGGGCAGAAGAGAGCTTAGGCAGGATCTGAGTGGAAGAAGGTGCAGGTGAGAAGACACGCCTAGAGCTAATCTACACCTTAGGGACAATGTGAATAAGGGGGATCGAACTCAGGTCCTTGCGCTTGCAAGGCAGGCCACCAAACCACTGAGCTAAATCCCTGGCCCTTATTTCTATTTTTTAAATGCTCCTCTCCCTGCTTCAGGAAAAGTGGATGGGAGCAGCAGAAAGGACCCTGCTTAGCCAATGTCTTCCTCCACAGGCACAATGCAGGGTTGTGCGATTCCTCACAGGCCCTAGCACGTCGAACTCAGGTCCTTGCGCTTGCAAGGCAGGCCACCAAACCACTGAGCTAAATCCCTGGCCCTTATTTCTATTTTTTAAATGCTCCTCTCCCTGCTTCAGGAAAAGTGGATGGGAGCAGCAGAAAGGACCCTGCTTAGCCAATGTCTTCCTCCACAGGCACAATGCAGGGTTGTGCGATTCCTCACAGGCCCTAGCACGAAACCCCTCGAACTGTCGCGTCTAACAGATGAGGATGGGGCACAGGGACGAGCAGCAGCGTGCCCAAGCTCACAGAGCCTGCCAGGGGACTCACCAGGGCAGCCAACTCCAGGCCTCGGCGCCCGGCCACTGTGGTGAGGAAGCTCCTGCGGAATCCCAGGGGGAGGGAAAAGCTGGTGACAAAGATGGACAGAGCCCAGCTGGGACAGACAGAAGGGAGACGCTGCTCTGAGGTGAGCACTGAAGTCGGCAGGCCACAGCTCCTGAGGTTCATTAGTGACATGGGGAAGAGTGCGGGGGCAGGGAGAGTGCTCTGATTTTGGACATGATGAGCTTGAGGTGTCCAGGGAGACATCCAATGAACACTAGAGCTGCGAATGGGCTGGGGCTGATTATATAATTGGGCCCCACTGCTGGAGATGGATGCAAAGCATGCGGGGGTGGGGTGGGGGCGGTAGAACAATAACACCTAGGACATCTAGGTGGGATCAGAGAGCTCAGGTCCCAGCTAGCACATGATGACCGAGAAGAAAAGCCAGCAAAGGAGAGCAAGGACTAGCCAGAGAGGTGGGAGGAAAACCGTACAGTCGTGGAAACCCCGTGAGATGCCTAGGAGACACACTGGGAACCCTGTAAAAATGCCAAGAGGCAGAGCAGGATGAGGCCCTAAATTTAAGGACCTACTCTTTGTCCACACTGAGGGCATTGGTCCTTCAGTATGGAGGGAGAGGCCCCAATCACAGCAGGAAGGAGGAAGTGTGGGTACACATAAAGACATTTACAGGTTGAAGGCTATGAAGATGAAGTCATTTTCATCTAGAGGTGTCCTCATCACAGAGCTGATACTTAGGGACCTGGGAGCCCGCTAGCTGGCCCTGTGTGTGCTGCCTTGCGAAGGATCAAGGAGTAGGTCCTACTGAGAGAAGGGGCTCTCTGACCTACCTTCTCCTGGTACTGGCGGCGGGAGGAGTCCAGGGACTGTATGAGGGCGGTGGCATGGCCGATGAACATGGCATAGCAGGTGGCACCCACAATCATGCTGAGCATGGTGAGCCAGACGTCAGACATGCCCACGGGCGCCTGCTTCCCATATCCAATGCACAGCATGTGGCTCATGGCCTTGAAGAGGGCGTAGGAGTACTGCTTCCCCCAGGAGTTGTTCTGTGGACAGAGGCAGTGGGTGAATGGGCAAAAGTCTCTGGGAAGGAAGGGCCTGCCCACTGGCACTGGAAGATTCCTAATCTCCCCAGTGGCTCCCAGGCTTGCCGCTGGCTGAAGTCTTCGGGTGGGGACAGGGAGGCCCATATTGGCAACCTGCAGTGACAGTTTTTTCTCCTTAGGCCTTCCTCTTCAGTGGGGGGCCAGCCTGAGACCAGAAGAGCTATCAGCGGGTTGGGAGCCAGCCTAGGCCTGGTCTGAAGCCCCACAGGGCAGTGTGGAGTCTCCTAGCTGAGTAGCAAAAGACTCCAGGCTGAGCCACGCTGCTGTCCTTTACTTGCTGATACAGCTCCATCCCCCAACCCCAAACAGCTGCCAAGTGAAGCCCATTTCCCCACTGACCTCAATTGTACAACCATCTACGCCTCCCCTGGGGGATGGCTCTGCAGACCAAGCTGCCGATTCTGGCCTCCTTTTGGGTGAGCAGAAGTTAAAATTGAGAGCAAACCAGCTTCCTGGACCGGCAGAATGCTGTCCATATCTGCCCACATCTGCCGGGGCTGCTGTCTTCCCACTGCCCCCAAAGGTGGACTCCGGTCCAGTGCCTGGGGCAGGAGGGACGGAGGGAGGCAGGGAGGCTCCTGGCTATTTTTGTCTCCAAAGCCAGTGGGTGTCTCAGGAAGGCTTGATGTGGGAACACTGGGCTCACAAGGGCCATCTCCTGAATTGAGTGCATGTGTGGGCTCGTCACTTGACACAGTGGAAACTGCCCCAGGTGAGGAAGCCCCATGGCCCCATTATCCTCGGTGTCTGTATTCACAGGGCAGCAACTGTGCAGAAACCCACCCTGGGAACAACCTGCAGAGCCCCTGCCCTGGGCCCTAAGCGTTTCTGTGGGCACCAGACGTCCCCAGCACCTGCCGGAAGGAAGGTGAAGGAGCCTGCAGAACTGCATGTCATGTTCAAGGTCACCATCCTGGGCAAGAACAGAGCTAGTCCCATGAGGCAAGTGGCTCAGTCTAGACCGCATCAGAGTGGGTAGGAGTGATACCCAGGGGTACAGGGCAGCCCCCACCTACCTCCACTCAGGGCTTCTGCCTCACTGCCAGGCTCTGGGGACCAGGAATTCAATCCATGAGGTGATTCATTTACGCTTAGCTCATCAAAAGGTTGTTTTGTAGAGCCCTGTTTGATGCTGAAATCGCCTCAGGGTCTCTCACCTCTTTCAAAGCCACCTTTTACTCCCCCAGGGCTCTGGGAATTTGCCTTCAGACCAAACCAAACAGAGTAGGGGGGTCCCCAGAGCCACAGAAAGGCACACAGGGACAGGGTTCCTCCATCCTACGGAAGCCCCTCCTGTCCACAGCAGGGTTGAAGGCTCTGCCCTGGGGTCCTGAGTCCAACTTTTCTTACCCACCCCCAGGGTCGGGCTCCATCCTGCCTGCCCTCCCTGCTCAGGACTCCACTGGTGACCACGGTGTGTGTTTGGGGAGCTAGAGATAGCCCAGCTCTGTCCCTAGAGCAGAAAGTGGCCATGTACAATGTGGCAGTCTGCAATGGACTGCAGTGTTCTCGAGGCCTGCTTTCTCAGGCTCAGCTTCTAGAGGGAAGGATAGGAGGGCAGAACCATCAGCCCAGCTGTGCCATGCTAACATACCCAAGGTCGCCCAAGTCAGCGTCCTTGGGTGAAATCACACCCAATATCAAAGCTCTCAGTGGCAGTAGAGGCTATAAGAAGGTGGTAGTAAGAGCTCATAGCCAAGAGTGCTGGGAATGGGTTTCTGGCCTGGCAGCAAATGCTAGGGACTGCCGTGGTAGGGCCATGTGCCTTATGCACCCTGCCGGGACCTCAGGGTCCTACATGCTAGGACTCCCAATCCTCTCTACCCATTTGTGCCTTCAGAGAAGTAACTCCAGCCCAGAAGGCGGGTCAGCTGGGGGCACTCACCACCATTTCATTGAGGGACACCCAGCAGTCACTGGGGAAGTCCTGCAGCATGGGCACCAGGAACTGCAGGCAGCCGTCCCAGTGGCAGAGCAGGAGCATCATGCCGATGAGGTTCACGATGCGCACCACGGCACTAGCCAGGTCGTAGGTCATGTGGAAGATCTGCCGGCACAGGGGAGACAGTGAGTGGCCAGGAGGCACAGCGGACCCCTCCATGGGACCCTAGAGCAGCTGCGGCACCACCCCCTTCCCAGAGCAGCACAGTGCAGGTCCAGGCAGGGGCGGGGGAGGGAGGGCACTAGGCCAGGCCCCTGAAGGGGCAGAGTGCAGGCTGGAGGGCCCAGGTGGGGGTGTTCCTGGTACCCATGCAGATGCAGGGAGGGGCAGCCACCAGGGATGCATGAGAGGACACCTGGAGCCCCATGTAGCCTGGGGCAAGAGGACGCCAGGGAGAAGCCAGCCTGAGGCGCCTTGAGAACCATGGCCTGGAGTTGGGCCCAGGGCACAATGTGTCCCTAAACCTGTCCGTGGATTCCCAGACCCGGCACCAGGCAGTGGGCACTGCAGAGACTGCAGAAGGGTAGAATAGCTCGTGGGCTCCGTGTTACCCAGGCCTGGCTCCCACCCAATTCCTAGCTGTGTGACCTTGAGAACGTCCTCAGACTTCCCTGATCAGGTTTTCTCATCTGGAAAACGGTGATCAAAATTAACTGAGTGGGTTGTCAAAAGAATTGAATTACACATTTAAAATACTTAATACTGAGTATAGAAGTATTCAATAAATTATGAGCCATTATGAACGATAAGTTATTATGAATAATTAATCTTTATGATAAGTTAATAAGTAGCAGTGGCAGCATTCTCCCTTATCCTGCAGTAGAGGACAGTGGCACCCTCGACCCCAGCCCACTGACACCTGCTCATCTGCACCCCAGTGGCCCTATGTAGGAGGATGCAGTGTGGGAGGGCCCAGCATCCCTGCCCTACCTGCGCCACAGGGCAGGGAGGAAGTGGAGGGGAGAGGGAAGTCTGGAGGGGTCTTTGAAGTTCTGGCATTGCTTCTGGCCTTGGAGACTCTGAACGGGGCACCTCTAGCCACCAGCCCCGCATTCTGGCCTGTCTTTTCTATTCCCAGGCAAATATTTTCTCCTGGAAAGGCGCTTTGGGTCAGAATGCCACAGAGACCTAGCTGAAGCCCATTTCAGAAGGGGACACGGAAGCCCAGTGAAACAGACTGTAGCTATTCCAGCCAAGACAGTCAACGCCCCTGGCAGCAGAGACAATGGCCAGTGTGAGGTAGGACGGTAGCTTCCTATACAGCCAGGACTAAGTGCCTAGCTGGCGACACAGAGGTAGGCCTGCCCCTAAAGGTGCAGCATCTAGGAGAAGGGGACAGATAGAGAGGCACAAACCACAGGTATGATATTCCAAGCTATAAATCAGGCTGACAAACTGTAAAAGAAAATAGGTGCCATGGTCCCGCCCTGACAGAATACACCATCATAGCTCCATGGAAGGCCAGGCTTGCTACACCAGAAGATGGCTCATGACTCTGTCCCACAGTGAGGGACCTCAGCCCACAGCCAAGCTCTATCCACACCACCCCTACACACAGCTGCAGTGAGGGGGTCGGGGTGTACACAAGAGCAGGAGGTACCCTCAGGGCACAGTCTCCGGACAGGGCCCAGAGCCATCTCAGTCAGCAATGCTGGGTCCCAGGTTCCCCTGGGAGTTCTGGAAAGAGCTGCAAAGAGTCCCAGACTCCTCACTGTGAGAAGGACATCTTTCTAGAGTGTGGTCCCAGTGGAGCCCTTCTGCCCTGGGTCTCAGGCAGATACCCTCAGAGGTACCCCAATGCCTGTTCTCTGTCCCCAGGAGGCCAGCCTGGGTCAGCACCTAAGAAGGCTTCTTTCATGTGGGGAGCAGGGAGCAAAGCTTGCCCCTTCTTGCCAGGAGCTCACAGTATGGCTGGGGAAGTCAGTCACACCCAGGAAAGGGACTTAGAACAAGAGCAAGGAACCCAGCAACAGAGCAGGGGATGGTGTGGGCAGACAGGCAAGAGAACTGGCTGGGCCCTCAGCTCCCTGCCAGGCTGTGGGTTGGGCCACACAGCTGCCCACAAACCTGGAGGCCACACATACCCCCGCCCACCCTATGTGCCAAGGTGGCAGGTATTCTGCTGAGGATGTCCTTGGCTGTGATGCTGTTGGTCTGGGGCATCGGTGTAAGTACCCTGAGGGGAGTCTCACTGCTAAGGGGCTCCCCAGGATGTTGCTGTGTTTCCCCTATCCCCCGGGACCCCACAGACAATCAGCAAAGCTCCTCCTCACCTTCCTTTTCTTTTCTCTTTCGTCCCTGAAATGCCCCGCTTCTTGTTATGCCCAAGATACACAGCTAGACAAGAATGACAGATTGGTTCCTATATCCAGCTTTCCCTATCTCCACCTGGACTCACCCAGAGCCTGTTCCTCCCCATCTCACGACGACATCATCATCCATACAGCTGAGAAATGAAACCTAACAGCCAGCCTGGATTCCTCCCCTTCTCCCGCCCTCCGCACAGCCAGCCCATGACCAGGCTGGGTCCCCCCGGGATCCCCTTGTAATGGAGACATCCCCAATGTGAGCCCAGTGTGGCCCTATGGTAAACACCCCAGATAACTGCCCCAACCTGATAAGGCTCCCTGCCCCTCCACCCCATTCTCAACCAAGCAGCTAGAAAGATCTCTTCAACCTTTTAGGAGTGCACTCCATCTGCCAAGTGGGGCATCAGTGTCCTGGTCCCCAATTCCTGCCCGCCCCTCCTCCTCCGCTGTGCCCAAGGCCCCCCGATAACACTGGCCTTCTCTCAGGTCCTTGCTTGGCTTGGGGCTGCAGTATCAGGCCCGCCAGGCCTGTGTCCTTCCTCACGCTCCTGTCGACCTCCCACGGTCAGCCTTCCTGCAGTCCCATGGGAAGCAGCAACAGCCCTCCCCTCCCACTGCACCAGGACGCTTCCACCTCATGGATCTCCTCCCCAGTAGAGTGGAGTTCTCCCTCTGAAACGACACTGTTTCATGAGGCAGGGGTCTCTTCTGTATTTCTCACTGTTCCTCCATGCTTGCAGGGGCAGCCACCAGGAACATGTGCGACTGCATCAATACGTGCACGCAGCAGGAAATGAATGGATGGAGACCATACGGGAGCCAGAAAAAGCCTCGGGTTTATACCTAGAAAGTGTCCCAGGCTGTCACAACCTGTCACTGCTCCTCTCTATGAATCACTCTGCTCTCGACAGAAGCATCAAGGTGGGACTATTTTATTGAAATAATTTCCCTTCTTTTTGCATCATTTGTGTTTTTCTTTTCTTCAAAATTTGTTTTCCTCCAAGATTAGGTCTTTGTCTAATTTTGCCTTTACTGTGACCTCAGTCATGGATATGTGAGAGCACAAGTTAGGGTCTCAGGAACTGACAAGCGCGTAAGGACAATGGTGATGGGCTTGGAGCTGGGCAGGACCCCACTACTATACACAGCGCAGGCAGAAAGGGCCTGGTACTCTGGGCCGATGCAGCTCACAGGGCAGCCCCTCTGCCTTTGTGAGAACAGCACCCGCGTCTCTTCCGGGAGGACAGACTTGTGCACCCTGCAGAAAGCTTTGGTGGCAGCGCCTGGGGCTGAGTGATGAAAGATGGTTCTGACATTGCAAAGCTGAGGTTCCATGGCCGAATTGGAGCTTCCTGGACAGAGCTGGAGGGGGACCCAGCCACCCAGGCTAGGAGGAAACCCTAGCTTGTAGAGACACTCACCCCGTCTCACCCCATCTCAACACAGCCCGAGACACACTTTACGGAGCACACGGCTAATGTCGCTGGGAGAAGCCGCACAATAATCATGTATCCCTCCATGGACTGGGGCCCCAGGCCACCTGCCAGGCAGCTGCCCTGGGCAAATATTTGCCTTGCTCTTTATATTTCATTAAAACCCACTTTTATGATGTTGGTTCTGACTGTGGGGGTTGAGCACCTTCACTGCCAGGCCAGCCCTGGCCTCACCAGATAAGCAGCTTGTGCAGTTCCCTGTCCTCTGCCTTGTGCTTTAGAGGGCAGCACAGCTTCCACCTGAAGCACCTGCTTTTTCTCTCGGAGCCTCAGTTTCTTTATCTGTGAGATGGGTCAGCAATGCCAAACTTGCAGATCTGCCCTGGGGACCAGATGAAACCATGTCCATAGGTGACATACAGTAGGAGCTCCACACCTGTTGTTCCTTCCCTTCCCTCTCTTTCCCAGCGCTCCAGACACAGCTGGTTTCTCCATGCTGAGGAGACACCAGAAACTGGTGGCCAGGCTGACAAGGAGTTTCCATGAAGGCCTCTTCTTGGGACTTGGTTGAGTTGGGTCCCAGGGACTAATTTTCCTCAAGGAAAGTGACAAATACCTACCTGTTTCAGGAACAAGGGTCCACATGGAGGACAGCTATCCAAGGCCTGAGAATATGGCACAGACTGGAACATGGGTCCCATCCTGGGACCTCAGTCCCCCAGGGCCTCCCTCCATCATCTCTGCTCCTCTGCCAACCTCTCAGGTCAGAGAGGGATGGAGAACCTGAGGCCCAGTGGGGAGGGACTGGGCAGAGGCTGCATAGCCTCCTCCTGCCATTGCTGAGGGAGAGAAGAGGCCTACAGTCTGGGCCACTGAGGGCTGGGCCCTGCAGGGGAACATCTGAAGGGGGCTGACCAGGGTTTCTAACAATAGCCTGCATGCCTTGTAACAAGCTCACACCTTGGCGGGAGGGGAGAGGCTGGCTGGGAGAGGCTCAGGAGGAGGCTGCTGACCTAGATGGCACAGGACGGAGGCAGAGGTTGTGCCCCTGAGGGTGGTCTGCTCCCAGCCTGGATGATTCCACCCACTCTGCCACCAGTGCCTGGGACAGCTCACGTGGAGAGAGCTGACCAGGGACAAAGGAGCTTCAGGAAGCTGCAGCTTCACCAGGGACCTTGGACAAGCTTCCCCGGCTGCAGGAGAGAGACCCCCAACCCTTACCTTGGGGCATCCTCCTGTAGGCCCTGTCAGCCACCACCACGTCCTCAGTGTGAGCTAAGACCATCCTCCCTAAGACAGCTGGGAGCCACAGCCTCAGAGAACATCAGCACATCCCTGACAAGTGGGGGAATGGCTCAAAGAAGGAAAGACACTTACACAGTAACTGAAGAGGAGACAAGGCAGGATTTCCTCTTCTCAGTATGTCCCTCTCCAGGTCTCATTGCCTGAAAGGACTTGTGGCTCCTTCCAGGCCCAGCTGAGGCAGGGAGAAGCCCACAATGGCAGGAAGCTATACAGGGCCTGGAGATGGGGCTTCAGGGGCCAGCTGGGAAACCCCAGTCCAATCCCAGGGGCCCAGGGGGAGTCTTTTGCTGGGCTGTATGCCAAGCAGAAAGCAGCTCAAAGTAATTTCCTCCCCAGCTGGTAGCAGAGATAAGGGTGTACGTGGAGGTGGGAGAGCCATCCATCTGGCCTCCTGGGATCTCCCTTCCTGCCCATGAGATTGGGTAGCAGTGCCCAGTTCAGAGACATAGCCTGACTTGAGGCCTGCTGGGGACTCTGCCTCCCCCCGCCAAAAAAACCCAAAACATGTCAGGACTAGAGCCCACCTGGTCAGCTCTGGAGAGCCCAGAGGGTAGCCAGGCCAGAGGGGCAGTGAGCGATGGGAACACAGCCCTGGCCTGAGCTCCCAAGATGTAGGGGACAGCTAGAAAGAAAAGCTTAGTTTTGTCCCAGGGCTCAGCTACTGGCAACTCTGTCAACTACCACATCCCCCAGGACTAGGCCTAAGGGAGGAGAGCAAGGTCAAGCCCTCAGGGGTGCCAGGACCTGGAGACCCAAGATGATGCCAGATGAGGAAAGAGCAGCTGCATCTTTGCTATTGATGGTAGTCTAGCCACAGACCCAAGACAAAGAAAGGTACGAGGAAGCCACCTGCATTTCTACTGGGAACAGAAACCAGAAGACAGGCCCGTCAGGGCATTCTGGAAAATACACCTCTGTCCTCCCTTCGCAGCCACATGGAATGGCTTTGGCCACCCACCCACATGGATACCGCCCTTTCTGAGCACTGAGCTCGGACCCGCAGGCCAGCATCTCTCTACACCTAGGTGTCCCACAGGTCCTCGAGCTGTCACACAGAACTCCTCCCCCACCCCGTGACCCATCCCACCGCCTGCCTTCCCAGTCTCAGCTGGGAGTCGTCCTTACCTCTTCAGTCCCCAGTGTCCCACACAGGGCACAGCAAGGGTTCCTGGACTGAACAGGGTCTTGCCACCCCTGAGCAGTGCCCCACAGCCACTGGAGAGGATGCTAATAGAATCAGTCATGGAACCAGGACACAGGCCCTGGTCAAAAGTCCTGGTCCTGGGAAGCTGACCTTTCTGATCTTCAGTTCCCTTATCAAGCACTTGGAGATACCAAGTTTATCTTGCCAGTTAGGTGTAAGGACCCAGTGAAATATTACTGGGACAAGTGAGTGGGAGGAGACCTATTAAACAGCTTTTCTGCACCAAGATTCATGCAAAGGCCTCTACAAACATGAGATACTACCTGAACCCACTTTTCAAATAAAGAGAAAGAAGCTCAGAGAAGCCAGGTGGCACCAAGATCACACAACTAGGCAGTGTGGAGCTGAGATTTTTAATTTGGGTCTCAAACGTGTCCTCCTATTTCCAAAGCCCACACACATTCTGCTAACCACACAGGGTCTGCCACCCTGCTGGCAGCCAAGAGAGCTCACAGGATTCTGTCCCAGTTCTGCCAGAAGTCCGCCCTGTGACCTTGGGCAAGTCACTGCCCCTCTTTGTCAGCAGGAATAATGCAACATTTCCAAGCCAAAGAGAATTTCTGCCACAGAGCGATTCTGCCAAGCTGGTGTAGGCACTTCTCCTGCAGCACATGTGTTCACGCCTCCTCTGACCTGGACCTGCATCTGCCGATGCCCCAACCATCAACCACCGGGACTGGCACGGGGGTCCCAGGCTGCTGTTGGGGGTGGGGAGGGGCACTTTGTACCCCAGTCATGAGACTTTCTATCCAATCCTGCAGGGATCCCAGAGGCCCAGAGACCAGCGGTGAGCTGCACAGCCCAGTTCACATGCCAAGCTGAGTGTCTCACCAAGCACTTCTCTTCCTACTCTGGGCACCCCAGGCTGCCAGATTGGGTAACATGCGTGGGTAGCAAAGACAGACCTCAGCACCTGGCAGGGTCACCCATACTTGCTGCTACCATAGCCTCAGTGCTCCTCCTTTTCTCCCGCAGACAGACAACTGCTTCAGGCCTTGGTCATATGAGTTAGGGTTTCTCAGAATAGTGCTGGACCACCCAGTTCATTTGCCATTTTTATTAAGCTTCTATATTCAGTGCCTACAACCCCTAGGATCGCTTTATGGATTTTGTGCACAGGCTCCACGTCTGGATCAGAGGCCGAGCCTGGACTGTTGGCAGCTGCAAGGCCTGGAGTACCGTGGACACTGACAGCGAAGGGGGTAGAAATGTTCCAATTCCTTGCCCTAAATGGGACAATCTTGAGTGTGGGGCACATTGTCTCCAGAGCTCCCTGTGGGACTGGGTCCAAGTCACCTGCATGGGACTTTGCTTAACGTCTCACCCTTTCTCGCTCAGCTTCCTACCTTTCTCCCTCCCTCTTCCCCACTCCCTTACCAGATTGTCCTGGGAAAGTTTCCCCCCAGATCACTTTCACTTCTCAGGGTCTGTTCCACAAGACCACAATCGAAGATAGTTATCAAAAACACTGGTACAAAACTCCAGATTTCTGCTTTCCAAGATGTCTCTGTAGATCTGCAACCCTATGCCCATTTTTGTGTGGTAACAAGAAGGAGCTGAGTAGGGGCTGCTGAGACAGGAGGAAGATGTATTCTGCCATTCGTTCTTCTCAGGCTGCCACACTCCCTGCTATCTGCAAACTGGCCCTTTTCACCCCTTCACTTTCTCCACCAGGCCCAACGGGCTCACAAGTGTACAACCCTTCCAGTACAGTGCAGCAGTTACTGGGGCAGCCTCTGAGGTTGATCAGTTTCACATGCTGAGACTCACCAACTACAAATCTATGTGTAAAGTGCTCCATGTAGTGTCTAACACATGATAGAGGCCGACAAATGACATGTGTTCTCTTGGGGCAGGTTCTGCAATCTGACAGCTCATGCCCAGCTATCTGAGATCACCAGAGGGCTTTGGTTGGACCACTCACCTCTTCCCACTGGTGAATATATCGAATGAGGCGGGAGAGACGCAGGAGGCGCAGGAGGCTGAGGATCTTGGTAAAGCGGACAATGCGCAGGGCCCGGGCAGTCTTGTAAACCTCTGAGTCGATGCGCGTCTCCACAATGAGGAAGATGTAGTCCACGGGGATGGAGGAGATGAAGTCCACCACAAACCAGCTTTTCAGGTACTTCATTTTAATCCGCTGTGGGTCCAGGATGATCTCTGTGTTGTCCTCAACCACTATCCCTGTGCGGAAGTTGAGGACCAAGTCGATGAGGAAGAAAGTATCTGATACCACATTGAAGACGATCCAGGGTGTGGTGTTCTCATCCTTGAAGAAGGTGATGCCCACAGGGATGATGATCAGGTTTCCCACCATCAGCAGCAGCATGGTCAGGTCCCAGTAAAATCTGCCCAGAGACAGAGGGGTCAGTTATAGATTAAGGGTGGAAGCTCTGAGGGAGAGCACTTGGGACAGGGAGAAGTCTTGGGAAATCTCAAGACACTCAAGGAGGTAGCACATGGGTACCATGAGGAGGCAGAGGTTGCAGACACAGGGAATGACAAAGAAAGAGGCTCTTCATTCACGAAAGACATCATCTCCCCTGCCCTTCTGTGAGCTCCCCATGTGACAGGCCTCATCCACCCATCCCCACCCCCAGTGACAGTCAGGCTGACAAGCAAACCCCACAGTGACATCCGGAGACAAGAGGCTCTTTGGTGACAGCAGCAGCTCACCTCGGCCACCCCAAGCTCGGGCCAGGCTGCCTCATCCTCCCTGAGGGATTAACTGTGGCTGGAGACAGGCTGTCCAGCAGACATGCCACACACCGTGACAGAGAACAGGGGAGGTCCAGACACAGCAGGTGCCTGGGAGGCAGAGCCCTGACTAGCTCTGACTTGGTCACCAATATGCTATGTGACAGCAAGCAAGTGCCTTCCCCATGCAGGGTCTCAGTTTCCCCTCTGTGCAATGCAACCTCTCTAAGTCTGACCTAGCTCTCTCCCACTCTGGCTCTCTGGGATCCCCCTTTCATTGAAAATAATCTGACACCCTCCCCCAGAGGTCTGCATGCTAATATGGGGTACAGAGGGGCAGAGACAGCATCAAAGGCAGGAAGGGTTCATGGGGGGCGGGGACTTCAGGCAACAGTGAGGCACCACTCAATGCAATGAAGGGAGACCAGCTAGGACTTCCAGCATCATTTTTCCTGAGGCTTCTTCCTGCAGGTCCTTTCTGAGGGAGACTGGCTCAGGAGGAATACTCAGGACAAAGACTGAAAAGTCAAGCAGTGTGAGGAGGTAGAGGTAACTCACATGTCTGTGTTGGGTTAGGAGTGTGGAGAGAGCACAGGAAGGCACTCTGATCACATCTTGATGTCTAACCAACCATTCTCAGGGCCTGCCCAAGTACCAGGCATCCCAGGCCTGGCCCCAGGACCAAAAACTTGCACTGCTGAGCTGTTTCACTCTGCTATTAAGACAGTTACAAGGTGACAGCAGGTAAGTCCAGCAGAATCATGTCTTCTCCTGGATAAATACATTTTCAACCCCATCTTTAATTCTCTACTGCAGAGAAACCAGAAGGAAGGAAATGGGAGACAGACAAGCTCCTCAAATCTTCAGAGGGTTCCCCTGAAACTGAAGTCCCACTGCCTTAGGAGTTCCGGGTTTACCGAGAAAAGACTTCGCAGCAAATTGTTTTCTTTGCTAGGCTCAAAATGGTGCTGTGAGTCAAGGAGAGGCAGGGACTGCTTTGTGAAGGTGGGTGGGACAGCTGTCCCATGTCACCCAGCTCAGGGAGGGTGGCTTCCAACAGTTTCTTTGAAAGTCAAGCCCTTTAGGGCCTAAAGACAGGGCCTCCTAGGTGCTACGGCTTCTCCTTCCAAGACTGCTGCCTAGAGGTCAACTTCAGCCCCTTCTCTGCCTCCCAATCCACCCACCCCCTTTCCAACTCCCATCCCCATAGCCTGCTGGGAGAACCCGACCAAAGCCTAGGGACACACCTAGCCATCGCACCTTCCCGCACAGAACACAGCATATCTGCTTGTGAGCCGGGAGAATGGTTTAAGCATTGATGAGTGATCTTGAGCTGTGTACACTCTCCACCCAGCTGCACATGTCACTCAAAGACAGCTGTGTACACTCATTAAAAGCCCTTCCCAGGTATCCCCATTCACATACAGCATGCAAACACCCCTGTATACACACCACCACATTACTTTTCATTTAATCTCTTAGGAAAAACAAAACAAAACAAAACAAAACAAAACAAAACAAAAAAGCTGTGGCATAGAGAAGCCACGGTGGGCCATGTGGCCCTCTGTACATAAAGCTAATAATACACTCAGGCTAGCAGAGTTTCTAAAATTAACTGATCGGGTGCAAGGCGGCTGGGAATGCTGACTCGGGCAGGCCTGCCACTTCAGCGAGTTTCTACACTCCCCCCAGATCTAGTTCCCTCAATTACAGACCAAATTCAAGACAGTAATTAACAGGAGAATGTTTGCATTTAGTGGTCTTCATAAAACCAAATTACAAGAGGCAAAAACACCCATTTCCCTGCATTCTGACTAACTGTCTCAATCTTGAGTTTCCAGATGCTCAAGATATTTCTGGTGCCTAGTCTGGGCTGGGGTCGGAATATTAAAGCATTTTTCCCACAAACACTGTCCTGGACCAGCACAGAGCTGCTGGGTAGGGGGGTGAAGCAAGATCTACTGGGAAGCCGTACAGGCTCCGGGGCCAGCCAAACTGGGGTCCACTCTGGCTCCATCATTTACCCCAAGACACTTAAATTCTTCCAGCTCATCTGCTCAGTGGACGTAATCACAGTACCCATCTAGGACAGCTGTCGTTAAAGAGTGAAATGAGCTGATATTTTATACATTCTGGTCTGTGCTCTAAATCATGAAATAATAAATCATTCAAACCAACAGATTTGCAGGAAAGAAGTAAGACACTGGTAGATTAAGCCTTCCAGAGAAGAACCAAAGCAAAGCTTCTACTGGGAGTGGGACTGACTGGAAGGGAACCTATACTGAACAGAGAGAGGCAGTGGCAGAAGGCAGGGGCCACAGTATTAAACGGACTAAACGGACAGTGGAACCTATGGGCCTCAGCATCCAGATGCCCAGACCACAGGAAATTCACAATCCCATCACAGCACAAGGCTTGGTTAGAAAATAATTCAGGCAGTGGCGTAGAAAAGCACCCCATACAGCATAAGAATCTGGAAAGGTGGGTGAGAAGGGTGAGGCCAGGTGAGTGCTTCTGAATGGGGTGAGAGGATTCAGCTTTGGGAGCTGCCCTTGGCCTCGTGGACCATTCTTCCAGACTCTGTACCAGATGGTTGCACAGGTCTCTGAAAGCTGGGCCAGGCCAGAGCCAAAAATCATGTTCAGCACCAAAGACAGCGCCCGCCGTGGAGGCCAGCCAGGTTCTGCAGGTCAAGTCAGGGGAAGTTGGCAGGAGTCTTCTCACTGGCATCCTCAACTCTCTGGACCCTGTTCATCCCCAATCCTGGTGGTCAGACCATCAGAAGGGATTCCTAACGTCCCTGGGCTTTTTCACTGGGGCTTTCTTGTGGCTGAAAAGCCTGTATTCACAAAGACCCCAAATATTGCGCATATAGGAGCATTGACTGTGCTTTCCATGAATTACTTCACCTAACCGTCACACCAGCATCACAGCTACCATAATTTGCATTTTGCATGGATGACATCAAGGCTCAAAGTGAAGTGTATGCCCAAGACCACAAAGCTAATAAGGAGCAGAGGCAGATTCAGACAGATTCAGATGTGTCTTTGAGACACAGTCTAAGACGCACAACCTGGGGTTATAGGTACCTCTCTGCGTAAGGGATGGCAGACAACCTTTCAGGCACACAGTGGGGAGGTGGCCCACCACAGCAAGGGCAACCTGTGCCCCAGAAACAGAAGAGGGCACTACAAAGAGGTTCAGAGGGGACCTTTCTTCCTGGCACTGGGGCCTTCTGAGGTACCTCCTAAGTGGGGAAGCAGCACACCTCTGAAGGCTTAAGAGCACCCTGGTTACCAGCAGTCAGAAAGTCAGGTATAGTTGCACACCTCTAGTAGAAGGGAAAACTGAAGTCCACACAGAGGGAACAGTAGCATTTCCAAAGCCTCAAGATGGATACCTAGGGCTCCCGTACAATTCTACTGCCCCTAAAATCATTCATGATTTAGTTCCACAACCCAGTGTATCAACCATGGCGGCAGATGCCACGCCTTGGTAGGGAAGAAGCGGGCAAGCAGGACTTGGTGAGTGCCTGAATAGAGGCCTTGGTCTCTCCAAAGCCAGAAGACTATCCTCTGAACCAATGCTCCCTAAGCTGATAGGACAGAGCCCTGGTCAGAAGACCCCAACAGTGCTCTGAAGGCCCTGGCCCAGGCTCAATGCCAGGACTCTAGAGCCATCTACTCGCAATCCTGGGCCTCACCTCCTACTTAGACCAGCAGTCCCACCTAGGCAGGCAGGTGGCATCTCAGCAGCATGAGGTAGCCAACTGGCAAGTCTCATGTGTAGAAGGAATGAGGGATGGCAAACGGCCAAGCAGCCCTTTCCACTGGTATCTGGAATGTTTCATGGTTTGTTCTGAGAGGAAAGGGAGACAAGGGAAGATAGGAGGTTCCTGACCCTTAACTCATAGACTCAAGGACTAAACAGGGGCTGAAGAGGATGGAAGGGAGGTAAAATGGAGGTTGGGGCATATATATATTCTTGCACACTCACTCTGGCACAGATATTGTCCCCTGGAATCCTGTCCACTGAATTAGAGCTTGTCACTGTCTTGCCATTAAAGCATTTTCATCCTTCCAGATTCATCTGGGGCTCCTCAACCTCTGACCGGCAGAGCTTCATCCCGGCCTGAGCCATGGATCTGGCTCTCCTAGAACACAGTGGCTCTGGAAAGGAAGGGTCTTGTCTCAGGTGGCCCCCATCCCTGCATGCTGACTGCAGCCAGGCTTTCTACCAGGTGAGCGGCACACGCAACACCCCACCTTTCCCTGCTCCTGCTGTGCAGATGGCTCTGGCTCAGTAGTCCTTGCACCAGACCTGCATCCCCACCTGCCTGTGACATGTGTGCACCTGGAGGGCCCGCTGTCCCCTGCACCTGGTGAGCCCACTGTTGTCCTCAAAGCTGAGTGGCATACCTGCTCAGTTACTTGGGTCCCAAACCCCAGGGCCATCCTGGTGTCTTCTGTCACCTCCCACCCACCCCATATACTTCTGAGAAGTTACCCAGGCCCACCAGCTTTACCTGCGATGCTGTCTGACTCACCTGACTGCAGTCCCAGCTTCCTGCCTGCCTCACGTGCTCTCAGCTGACCTTTCTCAGTCAGGATCCTGTTGCTCCTGACTTAACTCTTGTGGAGGACCCCACTAC